ACGCTTATAAATTTAATTGCTGGTTAACACTAACAACTGTACGGAAATATCATTTCCTTACAGTAAGGAAATGATATTTCCTTACAGTAAGGAAGTCCTGACTTTTTCTTCAAGAAATTTTGACAGGAATGTCAAAATTTCCTGGCGATTTGCGGAAAAAAACATTTTTTAAAATATAATTATTCAGTAGCACTTGGGCCTAGTGTATGCGTCTATTTTTCAGATTAATTCTTCAATAAATAGGTGTTTTTTAAACATTTATTTATTACAGCAATCATTGTTTAATTATAAATTAGAACGTTTAAATAATAAATCAATAATAATAAAATAAATAAATAAATGTTTAAAAACGAAAAAATCATTTTAAAAAATTGAAAAAAATCGTGATGAGTTAGATATTGTTTAATAATTTAATTGTGTACTTTATAAACATACTTGTTGTAATTTAATTAATTTAATTCCCAAAATATCCCATAATCAGCTGTTCTAGAAATTTTTTGTATTTCGTGCTTCTAAGCACCGGAGAAATATGTATACGTGTGAGTAAGAATACTGATTTTCGCAATAATATTGTGTTTTTTGTGTGAATGTGTTGACGACGTTCATAAATTTACGCAGAAAATATTTGTTCCATAGAAATGTGCAAATTATATTTAATATCGCGAAAAAAACATCAGTTGAGCTTTTTGACAAAGCGTTTTCATACTCAAAAACAAGTGAGATTGTTTTCAAGCGACAGGTCAACGGAATAAATGCATCGAGTATGCCTCCAAGTAAAGCTGAACTTCTTCAGCAAATAAAAAGGACTTTGCTCATTTCTAGTATTTAGTGCAATGCACATTTAAGACAACCAACAAAATACATACCCGAGGATTGTGGGTGAGTAACACTATTGCTTAATTTTTGCCGGTTTAACACTGTTTTTGATAAACTTTCATGGGTATGGTTATGACTACATTCGACTACACTGTTACAAATATTTAAAGTTTTAACAAATGCTTTGCAACTTCTTTCTACACACTACCAACGTTTGATATTATTAGCAAGCATTTTATGGAAGTTACACTTGTAATTGTCAATAATTAACATTGACTTGCCCTTTTCACTTAACATTTCACTTACTTCAGATTTCTATCATGAACTAGGTATAACGACATTCAAACTGGAACTAAAGTTATAATGTTAAGATTCGCACCACCCCTATTTCTTATCATAAAATTCAGGTAGACTACCAATTACCTACCAATATTTTCAAAGAAATATATCAATTGCAATTTCTGATACGGAAAAACCAATCGAATATTGAACAAGGGAATATAAGCTCTAACATCATAATACTTTAGTGATGTTATCGTTATAATTTTAATATTTTTTTAAGTAAGAAGTAGTGTTATACCATTTTTCAAAGTAAAACACTTGCACGTCACGATTTATACAAAGTGACGCCACTTGCATTTAAAATTTCCAGAACATCAACCTTAGAGTTCAAATTTTCCTAACACAGCTAATAATACGAAACATATACGGAACTGCTCGATCTTTCATAGGCGTCAACATGGTGTAATAATCAGAAAAATGTAATCATCATTATATTGGAAATTTTAGAATTATATTGATTAAATAACCAAAAATACTTGTTAGTATTAATAATATAAATTTTATGAAATAACTCTTTAAGTCTAATATTCTACAAAATACTAATTCTAATTAAATATATTAGACAATTGTAGGCAACTGATACGGAAATACTTCAAATTTAATTAACAGTTCAGCGCGTGGCAAAAGTCTATAAAGTGTTGCCGCTTTTTTAGAATAGGAATTTTGTTTATGTTTTGATTTCTTACATAATTTGATCATAATATAATATATATTAGTAAATGATATTTATAAATACATATTAAATTTAGATTAATAGCTTTAAAAACTAACTGTTGTTGTGTATTGTGATTGTGATTGAATACGCATTGAAAAAGCCAGAACCGCCTTCTATAAGTTAAAGAAAATTCTAATTAATAGAGATACTACGTTAAACCTTAAAATCAGATTAATTCGCTGCTACATATTCTCCACATTGATGTATGGTACGGAGAGCTGGACCCTTACAGAGATATTAATCAAAAAATTAGAGGCCTTTGAGATGTGGATTTATCGACGAGTATTCCGGATAAGTTGGGTTGATCGAATAAGGAATGAAATAGTTTTACATCGAATGAAAAAGAGCACAGAAATAACAAAAACGATAAAAATTCGGAAGTTACAATATTTCGGTCATGTAATGAGACATCCAGAGAGGTATAACCTTCTACACCTCACAATACAGGGTAAGATCGACGGAAGGAGAGGCACAGGCCGACGAAGAATATCCTGGCTATGAAATCTCCGAGAATGGTATCAAGAAACCCCCGCTAATTTATTTAGAGCAGCCGTGCATAAGGTTATTATTGCCAATATGATCGCCAACGTTCGATAATCGGACAGGGCACTGAAAGAGATTGTGATATGCCAAAACACATAAATAGTATGTAGAAAGCTTATAAGCTTTCATTTTGAACAAGAAATAATGGCGGGAAGTTTTTACTATTAAAGCCCTAAAAGAGGTAAATTTAAAATTTAGAATATATAATTTTGTATTAAAATGTTTTCTTATGTATTTTAATGTGTTGCAGTAGTCTTAAAACAATAGTTTGACAAATAGTTGACATTTTAAAAAATCCTCACTTACTGACTATTCTGATGTTTTGGCAACGCTGTGGGGTTCTAACGGCGTAAATCTTGAATGACGTGCAAGCTTTTTTATATGAAAAATGCTATAGTAGCATTATTTAAAAAGGCTCTTTCTTTTTTAATCAATGATGGTAGTGTTGTATTAATAGGTAAATACAAGGTTTGAGAAGACATTATTCAAATATGTTTTCTAAGGAATATATAGCCGGAGCGAATCTACCTATGCCCCTTTTCTGTGGGGTATTAAAATCTGACCGCGGGAGCCAACCAGTATATACCCATTCGTAATAATATTAACTTTTATTCTAATTTTTTTAATTAAATTTTTTTGATAAATAAACAATTTTATTTTTAACAAATACTAATTTAAATCATATGCATCATATTATATAAATAACTCATGCGTTAAAATTTTATTAGTGTTTCGCGAAACAAAAATTCCTTGATTAATGTTGCAGTTTTAAGTTTTGAAATATGTAATATACTAAATTAATTAAGTAATTAGAATAAGGCAAAAATACGCATACATATAATTTATAAAGTATTCAAAATGCAATTTTAATAATATTTGATGTAGAATTAATTTTCTGCATTAATTAATATTGTTTATGATTACCATCGAGCAAAAAGACAAAAGAGGGAATCTAATCCTTATGAAAAGGAGACCAAAAAAGTGGCCTCTGATGGCGGACATATCCGGAAATGCGAATGCGCCAAATTTAAATTTTCCGACACTTATTAACAGTAGCTATATAATATCTTTCAGAATGTGTCTTAGACGGGAAAGTTTTAATTAACTATTAACGGTAATAGTCTAAAATGCGACACAATTGTTAAAAAACTTCAATATAAATAAGATTTCATGTGACATTTGGGACAAACAATAACATAACCCAACTAAATTGGATGTCAAACAAGGAGAGAGACTCTCTTTCCTTGTTTAATGTGGCCTCTAAAGATCGCACTTCCTGTCTAACAATATTTTTCCCCCAGTACCTTTACATTCCCTCTTTTGCCTTTTTGCTCGATGATGATTACTAAAAGTTCGGTAGGTACGATCAATAAAGAAAAATAGGGTTTTTGCATCAGACTCGAGTTATGCCCCAAGTTAAACGTCAGACTTTTTTAGCATTCATTAAGTTTTGCTTTTTTTGACAATATATATCGATATCTGATGAGTATTAATCATTTTAGAGATAGCGTGAGAAGGGCACGTTTGACGCGTCAGAGTGAAAAAGGGGATTGCTCTTGGTATCTGACAATAATAGAACCGTTAGTTTCCTCGGTAAAGAAAAGCATACAGAAAAAATTAGCTGGTTATTTATCATTTTTGCACTGACCGTTTTTCGGTCATGTTTGGGGGGTGGACACCCTTACCGTCCTATCTATGGCGTCAGAGAATATTATTTCCTTTTATTATTCACTGACATCAAACCATTCAATAAATATGGCAAGAGTATGTATCATTTTTGCACATGTCGTGAAACGGTCATATTTCGAAAAAAAATATGGGGAAAACGCCTCCGAACCAAAAAAAGTCACAGAGGAAAACTGTGGCAGACTTGGTCTAAGGAAGCCGTACAATAAGTTTCAAGAGAGTATAAATCTCTAAAAAATTTGCCGGCGGTCACTCTAACTATAAGGTATACCTTGCTATTTCTAATTTTAATTTTGTTTCATATTCATATCGAACAAGAAGCATCTCTCAGAAAGATAATTTTCTGTCTTTACTGGGGGCTATTTTTCAACTGGAATATTTGGGGAGAATTCAATAGAAAATCATGGGGCGTCATGTTTTTTATTAATATTTAAACAAAAAAAAAACAATTTTTTATTTATTTGCGCATTGTAGATGAATATGTTCAAAAACAAAGAAAGTAAGCTTTTTTTTTTCAATTGTTTATAATTATTAAAATGAACAATAAAAATATTTAAAACATATTTTACGATGTGAGTTTTTATGCGCATACTATATTTATGTGCAAAAGATGGACCAGATCGGTACAGTAGTTTTTAAACGTTTCTATTTGTTTACCCCAATTGAGAAAAACAGGTCATTTTCAAATGTCTGCACTTCAAATGCAGCAATTAAGACATAACAGATAAATTAAACACATCATGTCTAATTTATATAAACTATAAAATTAACTAATCCACCATGAATTCGACGCATAAAACCACACTGTATAGATATGCATATACAAATTAATCAAGTTTAAAAATAAATAATTACGTTAGACATTATAAAATATTAAATTCAATTTTAAATGACTCACCTGCCTGACTAGTTCGTGCCACCAAATCTGTGGTTGTCGATACTTCAGGTACTGGTTTTTTAGTTTCGTTTCCGAACTTATCTAAAATTTTCTTCGCCACTTTGTATGTTTCCGTCTCCATAACATTATCGATGATTTTTTTCTTGTCTTCTCTCAACTTTATGAGTTTTTTTTCATTTCTTTGAAGCTTTTTGGCATAATACCACGCAAGGAATTTTTTAATAACAACTACTCTGAAATGGAAAAAAAGTCTTGAGCTCTAAAATTAACATGGAATCAAATAGGGCTTTTAATAAAACTGGCACTATATTAGCATGTGTAGAATAATAAGTTACTTACACATATTTTTATATATATTTATAGTTTTTAAAGAAAATTAAAATAACCATTTAATAAACCTCTTGTGGACGTGGGCCGCTTAAGTAGAATGCCTTCATAGCTTGTCGTAAAATGGAGTAACGATCCGCTGTCCATTATCCAAGTTCATAACCTGTCAACGGTTAGTGCGGCCACTCCAGTCGCGGATTCTGTCTATGTTACAAATACTCAGCCAGAAGGCGTTCCGAAAGTAACAGACTGCGCAAACAATCAAAAAAAGTTTCTCTATAGCTCAACAAAGAAAGATGAGGAGAGAGGCAAAAATGGCTGCTAGGACATGGACCATAGCAATCCCAAGAAAACGAAAGCGGGAGTATCGGCAACAACCGCGGTAATAAAAAAAGTGACCTCAGGAGAAAACATCCTTTAGCGCATGGACCCTGTGGGTGAACTGTGCTAACGAGTAAACAAAAAAATGGACTACTGAAGTGGTGAGAATTACGGAGGGTCTGTGAGAGGGAGCAACTTAAATATAGTTGATCACAATAATATGCCCAAGCGCCACATGATCCTCACCCGCGTCTCCGAGGAAGAGGCTGATAAAGCGACCATCAGAACCCGTCTAAGAGGCAATGTTAAGAGCTTAAGACAGAAGACTGGTTGTTAAAAAATCGGAAGATCGAGAAGAACTCGCAAACCCTAGTATACACGATTGACGAGGTATCGTATAAAGCATTGAAGGCTGCTCATTTCAAGGCATATTATAAATTTTTGAAAGGTATCACTCAAAACAATCATAGGCCTCGGTGGTTCCAATTAGAATCCTACAAGCGAACCACCAGCATAGTAAGATAGCTTCGGATGAACTTACTATTGCTACGAGAAGGGTTCGATGTAGCCTAGATCCAATAGCTCAAGGGCAGAGTTTACAAGGGCAAAATAAGAGGTTTATCGAGCATTGGTGGAGAGCTTATACACACATCAAAATAATCTAGGGAGCACCTATATTAATAGCTTTAAATGAATGTTAGCTGCGAATAAAAAAGTCAATTTATTTTTTATCTTTTTTGTTGTTTTGTTGATTATTGAGAAATGCTGAAAGAATGGCTATAAAAAATTTAACAAAACTTCAATATGCATTTTTTGTCTATAAGATAAAAAGTAATATTTTTTTCTTGGTACTTGATTTTTAACGTTTATGTGGATTTTTATTTAGTTTTGCAATTGCCAATAATGGAGAGAGACATCATTTAAATTGCGAAACGCAGTGGCATGCTATCGGAATGCTTCAAGGTGGCAGAAGCCAAAGAGACGTTGCTGAGGTCATCCACACGAACAGAAGTGTCAGTAATCGTTTGTGGTTAAGGTGTCAAGAAACTGGTGATGTTCCTCAACGTCATACAAGCCGTACAAAAATAACCAACCAGATTGAAGACCGTTTTATTAGGTTGCAGGCTTTGCAACGTACTGTAACAGCTCGTACTGTGACTGCATCACAATTACAAACGAGGCTGCAAGAGACCCAACAGGTGTTTATAAGTGGGCAAACCATTAGAAATAGACTACATGAAGTAGGGTTAAATGATCGAAGACCTGTGTTAAATCCAGAGGAAACCGCGCTCATCGACTTCAGTGGGCACAAGAACATGCAAATTGGGTGAGTGGGCCTCTACTTTGTTCACAGATAAATCCCGATTTAGATTTGCACCATATACAAGGACAAGAAGTTGGAGACGAACTGGCAATGCTGAACGATTGGCCACCGTGCAGGAGGTTCATAGACAGCAAGGCGACAGTATAATGGTATGGGGTGGCATCACTCTTGGTGGAAAAACCAATCTCATTTGTCTGGAACCGTTTCTAAATGCAAGATATTATTCTCAAACCTATTGTTGTACCCTTTGCACAACAAGCTGGTACCGAATTTCAGTTAATGCACGACAACGCGCGTCCGCGTACTGCTAGGGTCATGCGAACATTTCTCCAAGGTAATGAAATTGAGGTTTTATCATGGCCTGCATAATCGCCAGATTTAAGCCCAATTTAGCATGTATGGGACATATTGGGCAGATGCATTTTACAACAAAACATTGCGATCAATACAAGACAGCAAATGTTTGACGGCCTTTCAATGGAGTGGAACAGAATACCACAGCAAAACATTAACCATCTGATCATGAGTTTGCCTACAGATGTACGACAGTAATCAACAACAGTGGAGATCATAAAACTATACTAACTTAACCTAGACTACTTTTTTAGGAGTTGAGGCACAACAAATTGATTTTTGTTACCATTTTTTGACTTATGACTCTTTGACATTTGACTCTTTTAAATTTTTTTAAGAGCTATTACGATAATTCTAAGAAAAAATGTTTATTTTATATTCGGAACACTTGTTTACAATTTTTTTATTAAAAATATTTGAAATAAATTATTTCAAATCCTTCTGTAATCTCGCATTTTGTTTTTGTCCCCTAGTTTATTTTGATGTGTGTATATAGCCGATCTGCCGAAGTTCCAAGGACCTGCATAATAGTTAAACAACATATTAAAATACTTCCCTTGACAAATTTCTGTTTCAGATATTTAACAAAGGTAAAGATGAAGATAATAGAGGCAGGAAATATGAAGGATATAATTCTCGGATCAGCATACCCCCATATGATGATCCCGAGCAACCACATCAAGGGAGTTGAAACACTAGTGAGAGATTTTAGAAAAAGATGGACTGAAATTAATCATTGTCTGTAATGTGGATGCGCACTGCATGATCTGCGGCAGTAAAAACACCAATGAAAGAGATGAGTCATTACTACAGTTTGTTATGGAACATGATTTAGACTAGTAACTAGAACTACTAAAGAATGGCATGCGTCAGATGAGGTGTCTTGTTCACATCTATTTTGAAATAACAGGCAATGAGCCTATCGAGAAAACTTATCGTAATGCTCGTAAAACAAACGGGGAAACATATCAAGCTTGCCTGGAATATTGTTTATACAGGATTCAAGGGACGATAAGGCATACATTGGACCTAGAAAATACTGGCGAACAATTTCATGAGGTTGTCATGTCAGTGGGTAACACTGTCCATACATTTACAACTGACCAAGCATTGAAAACATAATCTTACGTTTCTCTGGCTTTTATTTGAGGGTGTTTTAGGACATTCACCTTTAAGTTTGTGCTATTTTTGGTAATTAGTGAGTTTGTTTCGTTTAGTTCCATCATGGATATTACGCCTAGAAAGCATGAAAAGATTATCACGTCAAGTGAACACACTTCTACGTCACAAAGCAAAATCGCAAGAACGTGTGGAGTGAGTCAGGGGGTAGCAAGCAAAATTTAAGCGCAAACAAGAAGCGGGATCAATTGATGTGAAAAGCTTAAGAAAATGCGAAAGAAAGAGAAAATCAACACCAGCAGATGAAAGATTTCGAATGAGCAAATTGGACCCAAGAAAAACAAGTCAAGAGCTTCAACAAATACGAGGTCTGGCTATTAAATAATGAAATAACGAGACTGATTATGAAAAAGAGTTTTATTTTAAAAAATTATTCTACAATCGAATGCTCCCCTTCAATATACTCCCCTTCCCTCGTTTCCCCACGTTCCCTCGTTCCCCCCACACACCGTTCCATTACGTTTTTTTCTCACATTGGTCAAAGCAATGCTGGAAGTCTTCTTTTGTAAGAGAATTTAGGAGCTCGCGCCGATTTTCGCTTCACCTCTTCTATCGACTCGAACCGGGTTCCTTTAAGGCAGACTTGATCTTCAAAAACAGGAAAAAGTCACAGGGTGCTAATCAGGCGAGGACGGCGCGTGTGTTCGAGCACTGGAGTGCCTCTAGCGGCTAAATAACGCATCACAGACAGCGCGTTATGGCAGGTGCATTATCCTGGTGCAAGATCCACGATTTGTTTTTCCACAACTCCGGCCGTTTCTTACGAACTCGCTCTCGGAGCGTTGCAAAAACTTTCAAATAGTAAGTTTGGTTTACAGTTTGACCCTCTGGAACCCATTTAGTCATCACGATGCCGTTGATGTCGAAAAAAAAAAAAGTTTAGCATGGCTTTAAATTTTGATTTCGACATCCTTGCTTTTTTCATTCTCGGCGATGCAGGAGTTTTTCCAGTGCATGGATTGCCGCTTAGTTTCAACATCGTATTGGAATATCCAGGTTTCATCGCAAGTGATGATGTTTTCCATCAATTCAGGCTCTTCATCTAACCGCTGGAGAAAATCTGAGCAGATCTGTTGACGGACGAGCTTTTGGTCAGGGGTCAAATTTTTTGGGACCAACTTCGCACAGACTTTCTTCATGTTCAATTCGTCATGTAAAATTTTTCTGACAGTTTATTTATTGGCGTTTACAGTTCAGCAATCATCCGAATACTCATACGACGATCTACGCGCACAATTTCATTTATTTTGGTCACTATTTGCGGAGTTGAAACAGAGACAGGTCGACCTGGACGTTGGTCATCCTCGGTGCTCTCTCGACCTTCAGAAAACCTTTTATACCATTCGAAAACACGCGCACGAGATAGAGAATTCTCACAATAGGCCCCTTTCAACAACTTATAGCACTCAGTCGGAGTTTTTTTTTATTTAACGAGAAATTTCACATTGATCCGTTGCTCGTGTTTTTGGTCACACATTGTTATCGGCACGAAAAAAAAACACATTCGTTTTTAACCTCTACAGAAAAAATACTACTACATCGACAAAACCGTATTTTCGTACTGAAAGAGTAGACACTTCCAGCTATCCAACGCTGCATTCGTTTCCCACCCTACCCCTCTAGGACGCCTTCTGCACGCGCAGTCTCGTTATTTAATAGCCAGACCTCGTATAGCAGCATCTCAACTGTTTGGAAAATACTTTTCGATAATGGTGGAAGGGCAAAGCA